TTATTATTACGCTCCTAAATGTTCTATTTTCCCTTACCTTTCCAGAGCATTCGCATGCTCCTACTGGATTGATAGCTCTCACAACCACCGCTCCGGCTTGGTCTTCTCTGATATGTTCAATGGTTAGCTGATAAGTCCCATTTCCATCGTCAGTGACCTGAACATATGAATGAGATTTAAAAAAAGCGTGTTGTCGTCAAAAGCTCGCATGCTCTTGGGAGGATTATTTATTAGATTGTTCCAGGGTGCTAATTTACATATATTTGTAATGGCTAAGCAATACAACGATTTACAATGGCGGACTGGCAGAGAAGTTTTTCAATTTTACATCAGACCACCCAGTCAAGAAGAAAAAGGATAACAGGGCGAACGAGAAGATTAGATCACATACAATCACTAGTGCTTTAAAGGAGGAATTTCACGATTAGAATGAAGGTCGAAGAAAGGGAAACTGACCTAGTTGAGGGACCCCACGGACCTCCTGAGGGTGCGAACTGACGCGCAATTCGCATGGAAAAATTTGACCTCGGCGACCTATCATGCCTCAAAGCTGGCGGGTCCGGCGATCTCCGCCCACCGATCATCTGATCACTCGCCGTAGTTCAATACGTGGCGAGTGATTAGATAGCTGAGAGAGCGTAGTGTTGAAGAGGGCACAGCGATGAGAGTCGCATCAATGCTCGAATCAACGGGCAAGGAAGGGGTCCCATTTCTCGGGTTCTGGGCCGTTTCTCATGGTTCTTCCTTCTTTCGTGTACCACTCACCATCCCTAGGTTAATTTGAAATGGGTTGCTTTTCATCGTGAAATTCGTCCTTTAATCGGGTCACCCTCAGTGGCTGCGGTAAAGTCTAGTAGTGATCAAACCTTGGACCATTCAAAGCATTCTTTCAAAAATCCGCTCTCTTCTAATTCTTACAAAAAATATGGGAAGAGAAAGGTATTGTCATTCTGACCTTGTGTACACTTTTTATACAGAAAATGAACGAAAATAGACATTCCTAGAGGGCTTGCAGGGGTGGTGAGCGAGGATGGGGGATCTCAAATCTAAAACCCTCCATTAGCCAGTTGAGACTCTTTCGACTGGTTCGACGCGAATGTTTCACAAGAATGCTGGGTTGTGAACAAAACTTTCGCCCCAGGCGGGACTAGAACCCGCACCTCTCGCTTTCCGGGCAAGTGCGCTACCAGTTACGCTACCGGGGCACCATTTCATTCCAACTCAGCTTTTCATGGTATACGTACCACAGCTTATCAGCACTCACAGAGTATTTCAAAGTGAATGTACAGATTGCCTAGATCATAAGCAAAGCAAGGACTAATCAAGCAAATTTGGGAGCGGTGTAATCTCTACGAAACCCACCTTGACATCTGGTGACGATTGCATTTCCTTTCCTTCGACGAACCACTTCACCGTAGTGCTTGGCTGAGGATTGTCAAGAGTCACAGAAAGCTGTAACTGCTCGTTCTCCTTGACGGTTTGTGAAGTGAATTGAGTCTTGAAGGTCGGTGGTACTAGTGACGGCTCAACCTGAAATTGTAGGAGTTTGTATATAAGAATAGAAGCCGATTTCAATTCCTTCTTAGAATAGGTGGTTCTGAGAAGAATTCACAAACCTTAAGCTCAGCTGTGCTTGAGTCGCTGCCCACAGCGTTCTCTGCCGTGACTTTGACTGTACCGCTAGAACTGGTAGTGGTTTCAGTGATCTGGAGCGAATATTCGCTTTCGAATCGGCACGTCTTCACCGTGCTGCTTTCTTCGACCACTTTATCGTTGATCAGCCATTTGACATTTGGTTCAGGATAGCCGTTGATTCTGACCTAAACGCTGATTACATGAGACCAGATTGATTTTAAAGAAGGTTCAGCATCATATCAGAAGGCCTACGTCGAGGAACCAGCCAACGTAGTGTGTAAAAAATAAATATATCAAATTCGGCAGTCAAGATCTGCACCTAAATTGGACTTCTACCAAGACCTTACCCTAAGAATAATAGTCCCAAGACACTCACTGATGTGAGGGAGGTAGTGACAACTGAACTAGTGGTAAAAGCTTCTCAGTACAGGACCAACCAATTTGCGTTCGATTTTTCTCGAACAACTGTTGGTACACGTTACTACGTATTCAGTACAAAAACGTGCAGTTTAACCCATTTGCTAAGTTTCACCCTCTTGGACAACGATGAAGCCATTAGAGCAATCAATAACTGCACCTTGAATCGGCTGTTTTCATTCTCAGGAATGTGACGTTCTTTGTCCTTCGAATAAACTGTGGAAGCGTCGATTTAAGGAGTTACCTGTAATCTGTGATGATTGAATTCTTCTTACCAAGCTCTCGTTGATCGTTGACCAAGTAACTGAAACCAATACTGCGTTACCCCGCTTATACCAATAGGTCTATTATGTTCATGTCATTAAATAAGAGGAAGGCCTATTTTCGAGCTGTCTATTGGGAAACAGCACTTACGCTTTCCGCTGTGAGATGGCTCAGCTCTTGTCGATTGTCATAGAAGACCTATCGCCATCAGTGGCAATGTGCACTCCGTCTTTGCCATCCTGAAAAGGAGAACTATTATTTTAGGTTCTAGGCACCTTTATGATGACAAAGGAAGATCAAAATAGATTCCTACAAGAAGAATTTACCTATTTGTCGATAGCTATATGAGTACGTATTTTGCTGCAATGAGAGCCTAGTAGTGAAAACTCATCCTGAACTAGTCGAGATATTACCGTGGTTTGAACTTGACGTAAAATTCAGCTCCGATTCCACGAGAAACGATTTTGGCTCAACACTATCCGTCCCTCTCCAACCGTTTCTGACGGATCTCCCTTAGTCCTATGCGATTGTTATGTCTCCTAAAAGCATCTCCGTTGAGAAGCCTTCATGCCCTTCATCCTAACCCGGTCACTTCCATCAAGGAAAGTCCTGTTGCCCTGCCAACTATATGCTACAATCTTCAGCGTTTCGCAACCGCGTCTGTGAATTCCTTTGAGGTAACTTCCTACCCTCTCGCCCGGGAGTGCAAGAAAAAACCGACCGTTCCCCTGACGACCTTCCATACTCGGTATGCTTTGACGCATTATCGCAGCCTGCCTATTATCGACAAAAGCTGTTTTGGTCAAAGCGAACTACTATGTGGGAAATGTTTTCCTACAAGTGACGATCTGTTTGATGTAGGGAATGAGTCTACGGCGAGGTGAATAGGACCCTCACTACCGCACCGTAGATCCATTGTAATAGGAAAAACTTCTTCGTACAATCAGCGCAACTATTACGGGAATACGGTTTTTGTGTTGTCTTTCTCATGTCACTACAACTTACTATTGTCATCTCGACACGTTATTGAGTAGTATTGGCAAAATAAAGCCATAAATAATCGTCCCAGCTCTATGAGAAGAACATCGGAGGCCTGTTCCAAATGTTGGTCGCAAGCAATAATGGAAGGAAATGGAACAGAGGGATCAGTTCATGAAATGGCCACAAAGCCACGGTATTACCTCAAGCGTTTGTCCGTTTATCATCCATTTGAACTGTGGGCTGCCTTTAGCGGCGACATCAACCTTAATCGGTTCGCCCAACGTCGCTTCAATATCTTTCAGCTTCTCTGTGAGTTCTGGTTTTTCGATGACTTTCATTTCGCATCTGAAATCAAAATATTTTAACATTTGCCCGAAAAATACTAAGCTGGTACTAGAAGAAAAATACTAATATGCTACTAAAACCTACTTGGTCTCTACTGAACCGGTTTCGTTCGTCGCTTTGACGGAGATCGTACCCGTAGGATACTGTGATGAGTCGATCGTTAATTTATATACATATTTGGTCTCCTCAGAGATCTTCACTCCTAAAATTGGTTCAGTTGTTATTGCTGCTCTCTCGTGAAGCTGACTTTATAACCAATTTCGGCGCTGTCGCAATATACGGGCTACGGCTACCCCAGGACTACGCCTAGGAGGGGGCGAGAAGCCGAGGAAAATGAAAATGCTTATTCATCTTGGAGTCTCTCCTACCCTGCCTAATGCTTAGTTCTATTTTCAACAAAAAGGAGTTGGTTTACGTGGTTTTGAATGCAGCGGCAAACCACACTGCCCCCCTCACGCCCCGTATCTTGCGATAGCGCCCCAATTTTCGCAGTTCTGCATCTTGCACCAGTTCACCTTCGGTCATCATCTTCAATTCCTTGCCATTATGATACCATCGGGTGTCTGTGGCATGTTCGATGACGACCTCGAAGCGGCCCTGCTCGCCCTTCACAACTGTTTGATCTCTTGAGATCCCGCAATCTTCGGCAAATCCTAACAAAAAAACACATTTCGAGAACAAACAAACCTGATCTTGACGTCTTGAACCGGCCTTATCCTGAACAGGGCTCAAGATTTGCTGTACTGCAACGTCTCCACAATTGTTAGGAACGTTACAACTGAATTCTCGAAGCCAAACACATAAGTAACACTGTGCAGTCTACCTCGATGGTCGGCTTTGCCTCGGTGGTCTGCTGTGTCGCTTCCTCCTTGACCGTCTCGTCGACTTTACCAAGCGACTCCAGCACTTCGGTGCCGGTTTCTGTGGTCGCTTGCAATTTGTTCAGATACCTGCTCGGTAGTGGTGGTGACCGACCGGCCTTAGCATAATATTTGTGTCCTGATGGAATTCCTCTTTCATCGTCTCCTCGGTTACGACCGGTTTCGATGGAGCCATTTCGATCTTCAAAGAAGGTTTTAAGCAAATCTATCAGCACTACTATTTGCAGCAAGCATATCCTCTCCCGTGTTACCGGTGTCAGTCTCGTCCGTCGACCCTCACTTCGAAGGAAGTCGAAAAGAACCGAGGGTGCTACCACAAGTTAAAGGTACGATTTTCGAGAACAAGAAACATGGAAAGTCTTGACCTCTGGACGGGGCCTTTTAAGCCCGTACAGGACTTCAAGATTTGACTAGTACTGCAACGTCTCCAATTGTTAGGAACGTATACACTGAGATTCTCGAAGCCAAACACATAAGTAACACTGTGCAGTCTACCTCAATGGTCGGCTTTGCCTCGGTGGTCTGCTGTGTCGCTTCCTCCTTGACCGTCTCGTCGACTTTACCAAGCGACTCCAGCACTTCGGTGCCGGTTTCTGTGGTCGCTTGCATTTGTTCAGATACCTGCTCGGTAGTGGTGGTGACCTGAGCGGTCGGCTCTACAGTAATATTTGTGTCCTGATGGAATTCCTCTTTCATCGTCTCCTCGGTTACGACCGGTTTCGATGGAGCCATTTCGATCTTCAAAGAGTTTTAAGCAAATCTATCAGCACTATTTGCAGCAAGCATTATAAGGGTTACGGTCTGCTGTGACCTCATTCGCGAAAGGAAGTCCAGAAAAGAGCCGGATGCTACCACAAGGTTAGGTTTAGTAAACGACTGCTCGTTGTATTAGAAAGTATTATGAGAAAAAAGCTGAAGTTAGTGCGCTAAACTCTGGCAAGCCGCCAAAATCGATGCCACGATCTGCATTCCAAAATTACCTGTGAGATCTCGATTTTGCCCTCTTGGATGGTCTCGGTAGAGGTCTTGCTTTCAGACACTTCTACCTGCTGTTCCTCTGCCTTAACAATATAACGTGGATGACGATTGTGACGGCTAGGTAGCAGTTAGTGCTACTACATAGGTTGAGTAAGCGGTTACTGATTACTGCTTAACTATATTAAAGCTATGTTCTAAATTACACATAAACAACTAAACTAGTTCTGACCATATTGGTAAATTTAAGCTATCAATTTGGGAAATAGCGTTGAAGGAAAAGGGAAAAGTCGAAAGGTGACTGTCAAAGTAAAAGTTGAAAAATGCGGTAGTGCTGACCTTCCTCTCCTCAACGGTGAGTCGAGCGCCGGTCTCGTCCGCTCCGAGACTGTTCTCGGCGACCACGGAGATGGTCGACGAGGCTGAATGTATAGACGTGTCGACGATCAGCACTGACATACCGTCGACCATCTCGACACGACATCCCTCAGTACTTTCGCGGACCTGCAAGCATTCGCTAGTCCTTTTAAGGCGAGTGCTACTGTCGTTTAGGCCTTAATTTCCAGAGCTAATCAAACACACACTGCTTTGCACCTGAAAACTCCTTGAAAATTCCCAAAATGAGGCGTTCCTGAAAAAGTCTTTGGAGAAAAAGTCTGCCTAACACAAGGAGAATTTTCGGTAACAACAGAGCCTTCTTTAGAACAATCCAATTTTGCGATTTTTCAAGAACTTCTCAAGTGGACCTCCAATTATGCAACGTAGTGTATTTTATGAACAGTACCAATGAAAGTATTATATTTACTTACCTTTCTCCCATCAATTGACCATTGGTAGGTAGGAGCAGGGTTTCCATCTGCATGTGCCTCGAACCTCGCCTCGGATCCTCTGAAATTGAATTTTAATGAAGGCGTGAAAATAGCAATTGAAAAATGAGACATTTTGAGTAAAAAAGCGTGGTACCTTTCGATTGTTACACTCTTTGGCTGTTTGTCGAATGAGGGTGGGAACGGTTTACGATTCACTCCGAGTTGAGCGGTGGAAATGGCCGAACCTTCGGAATTCGTTGCTTGACAACGGACTTCACCAGCATCTTCCAGTTTGATCCCTCGTAGCTCAAGTTTTACTGATCCGTCAAAATCGCGGATGACAACATTCTGGAATGTTTACAGCGTCCTCTGATGAGTAAATCTCTCAAATTTTGGGCACCAATAACTTTTGTGAACATGAAGCTGCACTTGTTTCGATTGTTCAAATATTTATTATTTATCTATTTATGATTAATCATTTACTTAATACTTCTACTTATTGAGAAACAGTTTTTTTTTCAATCGATGCTCCATAGGAA